ACATTGCAACTTGACTTGGTTGGAGCGGTTCAACCATTTTCAGCACAAAAGGAAAGTTAGAGCTACTTTAAGAAGGTTTAAAGGATCTCGATCAATCACCACTTTGCACTCAAAAACATACGTACGTGTTCTAAAGCTTCTTCTTTGAGAGGTAAACTTTCTCAAACTGTGATATCATTATTCATAAATCATTTGCTTTTGTGTTCAAAAGATATAACAAGACAAATTAAAGAGAAAAAACTAACAAAAAGCCATACCAAAGGCTGACACGGGTGCCCATGTCACACGACACGGCCGGGTGTCAGCTTATTTGGGTTGAAAAACATAGTAAAGTGCAAGGACAGAGGATGACACGGGTGACCGTATCAAACGACACGGCCTGTGTCAGAGTTACTGATTCAGACACGACCATAAAAAGATGAACAGCGGCTGACATGGGCGCCCGTGTCACGTGACACGGCCGTATCAGATTGGCTGGAACAAAAAAGATGCAGAAAAGTCATGGACAGATCCTGACACGGGTGCCCGTGTCCACTGACACGACCCGTGTCAGCTCGGGCACCAAATTTCTTGATTTTTTGAGATTTTTGAGTTTATTTTGGACATATTGTATTGCTTGGAAATGACCTGACTTTATAAAACCTTTGTTTTCAAATGAAACCTCAAAAACATTTTCCTAAACAATTAGTTTTTTTTAAGTTAACTTAGACTTAGGTTTTTCTTCAACGAAATTAATTACAAAACCTTTCCTATAAAAAACCCTAAAAAAAATTTCTCTCCCTTTACATCTTCTTGCATATTCTACTATTTTTGCATTATAAATTATGTAATTTTCAAAGCCTTGTAATAGTAATTAGGGTTTACTTTAATTTTCATCCCCATTTGTAAATTTATATCCCCCATCCCCAAGTGATGTAATAGCATAGTAATTTTACTTTCCGCAATTTATCGCTTTCATATAATGTTAGTAATTAGGGTTTGTATGGAAATATAAAACCAACAAGTAGATAAACCCTAATTCAAGATAAACAAGCATGTAACCAATACACTTTCACACAAGCACCCCTAGGGTTATTCCATTTGGTTGCCTTATACAAAATGACCATATTACGCATGTAGGGTATCTTAGCAAAGACAAGCAAATACAAGATCATAGTCCTTCGATGATGCTATCTAAGTTGCCTTACAAATGATTTCAGTCCCTCAAAAAGAATGCTAAGATACCTTGCAACATTGCTAATCATGGTTATACGATGACCCACGTCCGTCCCGTTTACATTCAAAGATAGGGTTACTTACTAAACCAATGGTAAGATAACAATGTCAAAGGAAAATAAAATGAACAAGAAATACATTTGAGTAGGTAGATTGCTCCTAATTACTTGCTCCATTTCAAAACAAACAACCTTGCTATTTTCAAGAAAACAAACACACACACTTTCAAACATCTTACAAACATTGAAAACATTTTCAAAAGATTAAACATCTTTGTATACATTCTTATGAACGAGAATCATTACAAAGATTGCCTAAACAATGGTCTCTTTACAAAAGACTTTCAAAAACCACACAAAGCACAATTTCAAACAAAAAGCAAGTGATCTAGCAAGTAAACTAAGAGCCCATGGAAAACCATGGATGAAAAGGGTGCTAATACCTTCCCTTTTTATAATCTACCCCCCGAACTCAAGAAATAATCTCAAAGGTCTTTTCTGTGCTTTTTCACCTTTCCTTTTGGATAAAAGAAAAGTCGGTAGTGACTCTTGCTAACCGCAACATTTGCGATCAAACGCAAAACCTTCAAGTCAGTTCTCCCACCGTATCACAAATAGCAATGAAAGAAAATATATAGAAAATATAAAGATAAAAAATAGTGCAAAAGAGAGAAAGAACAAGTCCTTCGATTCATGCAGTATTCAAAGCATATGTCATTCGATTCACACAAACTTTTTTCTTTTGTTTGGGCCTGTAAAGCAGGGTGTTCGAAGCTTGCATCCTTCAATTCACACAACCTTTTTTTTCTTTTGTTTGGGCCTCTGAAGCAGTATGGGGCGAAGCCTAAGGCTTCGATTCACACAATATTTTTTCTTTCGTTTGGGACTGTGAAGCAGTATAGGGCAAAGCCTAAGGCTTCGATTCACAAAACCATTTTTCTTTCGTTTGGGACTGTGAAGCAGTGTGTTCGAAGCTTAAGGCTTTGTGTCGAACTATGGTGTTATTTTTTACTCTAACATTGTTTTATGGTCTGTACAGGTTAGCTCTTGACAATAAAGGAAAACAAACAAAAGGGTAGAAACGAAAACAAATATAAAGTTATCAATGATTCTTGAAACGAAAGGTTTTAAAGTCAGGAAGACTTACCTTGAATCTGGAGTTGGTGTTTTGAACTTTGAGTTGCTGCCCTGAATATTCTTGAATTCGAAGGAAGGAAAGAACCTGAGTTCGAAGGATAGTAAAGCTTGGATTCGAAAGAGAGAACAAACAGAGGTGTTGTATTTTTTAGTTCTGGGTTTAAGAGTGTTTTAAGTGTTCTCTCCTCTCTTTGCCTTGCCAACAAATCTCTCTCCAACCACTCAAAAGTCACCCTTAGATGTGTTGTGAAACATCTTATTTATAGAAGAGTTTGGCTGAGATTTGGGGGGGGGGGGGGGGGGGACAAATGAAATTTGAACAGTTTTGATATGTTCTTTTCATAGCTTTCAAGGTGCAACTCTTATATGCTAATTTAATGCAAATTAGGATCAGCATAGCATGACTACTTTGTAGTAGTTTTGGAGTGTTGTGGCAGCTTGGTGCAGGACTGTTTCATAGCAGTACAATAGACTTGGGCTTTGCAGCATATATGACTTTGTTCAGCAGCCTTCGACCAGACTCATCAAAATACAAAACAATACTTGTTTCCACTAATTGTGTGTTCTTCGAATGGACCCATTGTATGTCCTTCGAATGGACCAATTGAATATTCTTTGAATGGACCATATTGTATGTCCTTTAATGAACCATATTGTAGGTTCTTCGAATTCACCAAATTCACGTTCTTCGAATAGGCCACCAAATATGTGTTCTTCCAATCCACCGAGTTCATGTTCTTCGACTGGGCCACCAAATATGTTCTTTGAATCCACCAAATTCATTTTCTTCGAATGGGCCACCATATATCTGTTCTTCGAATGCACCAAATTCATGTTCTTCGAATGGACCTTTTGTATGTTCTTCGAATCCATTAATTGTGTGTCATAGTGTAGAAACTATGTGTGTTGAAGGGTTTAGAGGTGGAGTCGAAGCTAGCATGAGGGAAGCCACTGCTTTGTGAATCAAAGCAAGCATGAAAGAAACCACTGCTCAGTGGATCAAAGCAAGCATGAAGGAAGCAACTGCTTTGTGAAACCAAGCAAGCTTGAAGGAGGACAAGGTCCAGTCGAAGCTTGGGAAATCGAAACAAGCTTGAAGGAGGCTAAAGTTCAGTCGAAGCTTGGGAAATCGAAGCAAGCTTGCTCTTCTCCAATTTGATGCTTGAAAGACCAATGTGATCCATGGGGCATTAAAAATCCAATTGTACTTGTGCAAATTGGAACTTTTGAAAATCCTTGCTAGAAAAGTTTTGAAAAGAGAGAGGGTAAAATTTGGGGTACAACAGATGCATCAAAATTGGCATATATTATATCCCATTTTTTATAAAGTGTTATTGTTTGTATCAGGAAAAAGAATCGCTTTGCATTTATGGCTCTTGGATTTTGACATCAAGCAAGAGAAGAGTTTCTCTATACTCTATTGAAGACTTCAAATTCGGTGTTATCGAGTAAAGATTGTTGTAGAACGAAGATGGGAGTTGTCCAATCATTTTTATATAGACCAAAGGCTTAGACCAGGAAGCAGTAGGACCAAGTAAATGTCGCTGCAGAATGGAAGTTTGGAGTAGGATTTGAGTGTCTAGCAAGATTGTTGGATAAATATCAATGAAGATCTTGAAAGTATTGCAATTTGAGTATTCTGCTTCAACTGAAAAGAAAGTCAATTTTGATCTGTGATGGCTAAAGTAGGTGGCTTGTAGTATTCACATTGTTGAGTATCAATTGTTCCAAAAATAATTGTACATTAATTATACAAATAGTGGAAGACCCTACAATTTTCAATAGTGAAACCATTGAAGACTAGATTAATTAGCTAAAACACTATAAATCTGGTGTACATTTTTCTTTTCCCTACCTCTTTTATATTTTTGCATAGTATTGTTTATTTAATTTGTTTGTCATCTTAGAATATCATGCTATCTAGATCTTTATCTTGCTTATAGCGATTTATCGAATAAGTTTAGGTATGTGATGGATCTAGTTCATTGACTATTCTATCTTTAAATTATGATTGTATAGACTAAACACAACAAATAATATATTTTATGATAAAATTTTCACCTCAACCAACAACATCTATCGAAGTATAAATCCTGAGCGCTACACTTTATTTTTTTTTTAAATACCATATATTCTTTAAGTTATGAAAAACTACCGATAACAAAAATTGTTTAGGGATCACACTTCAATCTCAGTTCATACAATTTTTATTTTGTTTATTTTTCAATTGGCACATTTTCAATCTTTTATTTCTAAATCAATTAAAATAACATATTTCCTCGATTGTAAGAACCAAACAACCAAACGACATAAAAGATGAATCAAGGACTAAACTTCAAATTCCACACCTTTTCATTATTGTGTTAAACTCTGATTTTAAAAAGAACTTTTTTATAAATAATTTTAGAGGAAGATCTATTTAACCTCGTTCTAGACCATTTAGTCCTTTATTCTCCATCGCAATTCCTATTTAAGATGATAAACAAAGAACTCAAAGAACAAATACAAACACATACTACATTTTGGGTTACACAGGACAACAAAGTACAAATTCAGAATACTATTTGATAACAAAATTGAATGCACGTCAAAATGCATTTCTATTTGCACATATTATTCATAGTAAATAATTATAATCAAAATAATACATCATTCCCTTGACACAACATTTGTGGAAGCACCAGCAGGCTGATCTTCTAATGATGAAATTTGTAATGGAGAATCAGAGTTGATAGAACCTTGGTGTGGTTGGTCTGATATAATAATATTAATAGGAGGTGGTGGATTAAGGAACTTGGTAGTGGTGGGAATGATGGAACATCTACAAAGTGGACAAGTTGAATTTGTTTGTAGCCAATGATGTATGCAATCAATGTGGAACACATGCTTGCCAATATGGAATCTGTTGCAACTCTTCTTTCACTCAAATTCTCCCAAACAACACAACATCTGTTTCAACACTTATATATATTAGCTTCATTTCAAAGCTCATATATATATATATAAATCAGACAATATTATATAGTAACATAGTAGCATATAAAATCAGTATAAGTCAGATATTGAATATTTGGAATTTTTTTTAATAAAAGAGACCAGCATATAATTTTATTTTTTTGTGATTTTATTCTGTTTGAGACATAGACCCTCTTTGACAAAAATAGTATATGTTATATTCTCCAATGTTGAAAGAAGAAAAATCGTTAATTCATATATATTCTTGTTATCTCTTTTACCACCTTTCTTTTCATGTTGCCCTTTTTTATAAATAAAATAGTGGACGCCATTAAATATTCTAATTAGTGATTCATCTAATGAAGATTCTCTAAACAGTTTTTTTTAGCTTTCTAAAAACAACATTAGTTGAATATGTAATTTAAAACAAACCCAAAAGGTGATTAAATTGAAATAAAATAGGGATAGATGGGATAGTTCAATTGTTAGTTGGATTAAAATATAAATAATTGTTGATATTTGTAAATCAATCATTTAAAAAAATATATATATTTATGGACACCAAATTTACATATGCAATATATGGTTTATCACATGCAAAATTATGATTAGTTCAGTTAAATAATTAAGTAATTTAAGTCATGTTAAAACAAGAAGAACAAGAATATAAATTAACCTTGGCAACAAAAAAAAAACAACAGAAACTTACATTGAATCCCTTGCTTGTAAATCCTCATCAAACAAAATTCTAGAAGTTTATCCAAGAATTGCACAGCAAAATCCAAACGACGAGGCTATGAGATTATGTTAAATAATAAAATGATTTAATTAATCTGTTAATATATATATAAATAATAATATAATAAAGTAGTAACAAATAAACTTACCGATGAATTAGAGGAATAATAACGATAGGTTGTTGGAGGATTAATCCTTGGAAGTAAGTGTGGAGAGAAAGAAGAAGCTCTTCTCTTGAGATAAAACAAGTAAAAGAGGAGAAAAAGAATAATAGAAAAAAGTATAGGAATTGAAAATATGAAAGCTTGATAAAGCTTAAGTTGAAGTTCTTCTGGATACATATGTGGAGGAGGAGGAGAAGAATTTGCAGGTTTCTGGAACAGTACTACTCATCATCACATCATTTTTCCTATATTCATAGTTAAACCTTTTGCCACTGCCTCACATATAAATACAAGTTTATAAGTATATAATATATTTGTATTTAATTGAATAAATATTACTTGAACATATACATATACATATGCTTACCAAATAGAGTCGAGTTTCTTTGGTTATTTTGGGACAAATATTTTTTTTGAGCTTCTTAAAAGAGACAGAAAGATCATATATACATATAAAATAAAAATAAATATAGTTTTTGTGTATTATTATTTTATTAAAG